GGGGGGGGGGGGGGGGGGGGGGGGGGGGGGGGGGGGCAGCTGCCCCTCTTGCCTTTTGCTAGGAGGGGCAAGGGGGGCAGAAGTGCCCTTTGAGTTGTAAAATACTACCTGATAAATCACGTTTCCAGTGATGCTTTTTCGGCAAAATCATGAGGTGTGATCTTGAATGTGACCTGATTAAGTGCGTTTGCTTTCATTGGCAAGTCAACACATCATAATTGTAGGTTTATATCTTCACCGGAGTCTATAGAGGTGCCCTTTGGTGTGTTTTTTCCCCCCCCCCCCCTTTGTCTTTTTATCGTTCCGGCGTCCCTGACTGTAGTAGTGTAGTAATTATTATAAACCCCGGTCAAACGATGTCTGAGGCAGTCACGTGTTGTTACGGGGACTGACTTCAAGCTCTAGATTAACAAAATAAAGGTTTCACGAGTGTTCCAACTATGTTTTAACTTGATACATGATTGTGTTGGAAAAGTATTGTCTATTGAGTACAGCTAACCAAGGTGGCGTGACTTCTCATCCTCGTTTGATCCGCGTTTTAAGGCCCTGTCACACTATTGCGTATGAGAGAAACGTATGAGAAGTGTATGAAAATCAATGAAATAATTTTGATACGCACAAAAATCCTTTGAAATGCCAGCGTACGAGTACCGTACATCTGGCGTACCTCTAGCGTATTCAGGGTGTGCCTAGAGTATGCTTATCGTATAAAGCATACGTCCGATACGCACAAAATTTTTGAACATGCTCAAAAACAAATCTCTGCCTCGACGTATGCCAGCGTATGCCACCGTACGCGACCGTGCTTGAAACGTATACAACCTATGCCTAACGTACCCCTAGCGTATGTCAGCGTATACCGGCGTATGAGTGATATTTTTCATACGCTGACATACGCTAGTACGATACGCAATAGTGTGACAGGGCCTTTAGGGACAATCTAAATTGATGAAATTATTAAAATCATTACAGAGTACTGTGTAATGCCGAACAACAACGCAACGACGACGGTAAAACCTACTTAATAAGATGTTAATAAATGTATTGGCGATACAAAACGCGTGTAAATTTATGATGTACTTTTGATGTAATTTTTTGTGAATTTTCGTCTTTGGAAACAAATTTTGGCGGCTGCTTCTTTCTGCTTACAAGTTTTTGTCCAGCAAATAACAGCTTGCACACCTTTTTTCCTTCTCATAATGACATGTGGCATAATTTATATGGACTTTTTTGATCTTGCAAACCTTTTTAAGGATTTCTCATCCCCTCCCGCCAAAAAAAGTAATTGTCCGTTAAGATGGTTTACAGTAGGATACAGATTACAGTCGAAGACTAGGCAAGCTGGCATTGTATACAACACAACGGACTCACAAACGAACACTGCCTGACTAGCTAGCCTGGTTATTTCGGCAAAATGAACACAATGAAAGTAAATAAAGTTATATTTTTCTGTTTAGTTTTGTATTTAATACATGAATAATTCTACGATAGCCCGTAGCCGCCACAACAATTAACCCCTACTATGGTTATTAATAACAGTTTGTAGAAGTCTATAGAACCAAATCGTGGTGGGTCTATGTAACCCAACAAAATTAGAAAAATAATTTCCTACACAAATTGAATAAGAGCACATGCATGTATGCATGCTCGTTAATTACACTCAATTGAATTAATTTGCACTCAACCATGTAACAGCCTTCCAAAGCCAGTCTGAAGGATCTGATTTGTTGTAGAAGGTGAATTTCACTAAGCACTGTTTTGCAGCTGATGCTGGTCATTCAAACTGGCTGGTGGTCTAACATTTGTTAAGTCCTTTCATGTGCAGTTATTTCGTATTTGCAGGCCAATTTTGTTATTCCTATCATTGTCAACAATTCTGAAGTTGACCAGCCATCTCCTGCTCTGTATGAAATGCTTACTGAAACCACTGAGCTCCATATATATCTGGAGTAAGAACTCGTGTTAAAAAAAAGTGAAGCAAAAGATGGCTGAAATTGACATCCAGTGCCAGTCTAGTGTTTTTTTTTCTGCCCTGCTAACACAAGGCTGAATGGAGTGTGCCAAAATGTCTTGTTTTGACGACAATTTAGACACTACTAAATGTGCTTTTTATGAACTGATAATGATTGGCAATATAGTCTATTAGAAAAGACTGCAATTAGCTGGGCAAATAGTATGAAACCTTCTATGACCTTCATAGATTTTGAATGTCAGTTTCTGTCATTTTGGCTTCACTCTTCTCATTGGCTGAATGACTGAACTTCTTGCTCCAGGTACATAATAGAGCTCACAGACTGCAACCCACAAGTGTCAAAATAAGGGTGCTCC